TTTTAAAAAGTTTCAGTAATGTTTGGGCTGTAAGGGCAAGTTATTGCTAGCTGCATTAGTTATTGCACTTGCGCAGACATTGTGGAGGCAATGAAATTTAAGCTGTGTTTAAAGATATTTGGATTTGAGGATGTAAACATGGAAGGACAGACAAGGACCAGCAAGTAGGGAAGGGATATATGCTTCCCTTATGTATCAATAGGATATTGATATGTATCAATAGGATATATTCCCATATATCCCTTATGTATCAATAGGATATATTCCCATATATCCCTTATGTATCAATAGGATTACTGTATTTTTTTCTGAAGCTTATTTTTTAATTAAAAAGATTTAACTAAATGGTCTTTGCCATGTATCGGCATCATAGTTTATTCTAGAATGTTAATTGTAATTCAAAATAGCCGTATCACTGCAGAGCACAGGACTGAAATTGTATGGCAGGGTCTGTTTTTGAAATTCATTTGCCTATTAGTGATTGCATAGTCAAGCTTTCATGGTGTAACACAGCACCCTGGTAAAGCTTGGAATGTGTATATCCATGTTGGCAAGGAGTAATAGAGGATGCATGCTTTGCAGCACTGAGAAGTAAATATCAAATGTGTGCTGCCTGAAGAGATGTGGGAGCCACAGGGGATGGAACAGTAGGGTGGTGGTGTGTTTAGGAGGATTAATCCAGACAGCAGTGTTGGAACGTGAACAGATTGAATGTGTTGAGGTTACTGTTGTAGAACAAGTGAGAGAGACTTGTTAACCATACACATTTCTAGAATTTATGGCCCTTTTTGTTTTTAATATTTCTGGCTTTTTGTTTTCTTTTAAGGGTTGAAGCAGCTGAGGTAGTTTTTCCTAATGGAAAATCCTATACCTTTCCAGTAAGTATTTAAGAAATGGATTTGATGATAATACTAGTAATAATAATGGTTACAGAGTGCTCGTTGTATGTCTGTCCATCATCCACCCACATGCCAGGCATTATACTATGTGCATTACATGGATTTAATCCTCACAGTAACCCTATGAGGGTGGGTGCTGTTCGGCCCTTTCCCAGATGGAGAGATCTTGCAATGTTAAATAGCTTGCCTGTTACTATTAAGTGGTGGAGCTAGGTGATAGTCTGGCTTCAGCTCCCAACATGTTCCATTATACCACTGCATTAGATGGCCAGAATTCCTCTGATTTGTTCTTTTTATTTTGTTTTATTTTTTATTTAAATTCAATTAACATATAGTGTATTATTAGTTTCAGAGGTAGAGTTCAGTGATTCATCAGTCTTATATAACACCCAGTGCTCATTCTATCACATGCCCTCCTTAATGTCCATCACCTAGTTACCCCATCCCTCCATACACCTCCTCTCCAGCAACCCTCAGTTTCCTGTGATTAAGAGTCCCTTATGGTTTGTCTCCCTCTCTGATTTTGTCTTGTTTTATTTTTCCCCTCCCTTCCCCTATGATCCTCTGTTTTGTTTCTTCAGTTCCACATGAGTGAGATCATACGATAATTTTCTTTCTCTGGTTGACTTATTTTGCTTAGCATAATACCCTCTAGTTCCATCCACGTTGTTACATATGGCAAGATTTCATTTTTTTGATGGCCTAGTAGTATTCCATATATACTGTATATGTATACTATATATGGTTTGTATATATTACTATATATACACACACACACACACACACACATATATATACACACACACACACACATACACACACACCACATCTTCTTAATCCATTCATCTGTCGATGGACATCTGGACTCTTTCCATAGTTTGGCTATTGTGGACATTGCTGCTATAAACATTGGGGTGCAAGTTCTTATTTATTCTTATTAACTAGTTTACTGGGTGATTTATAGTCTCACCCATTTTAAGATTACTCAGCCCTCCAAACCTGATTAGTCTGTTCACACTTGAATTAACAGTCACTGAAGAGCCATCACTGTAACTAATAATTCCAGATGTATTAATAGGACTAAGTAGTAAGCACAAGTATTGTCAAAACATAAAATCTTGGTAAAAAAAAAAAACAAGAAAAAAACCCAGCATTATTCTTAGTCGGGTTTCTTTCTTCCCCTAAGATGATTTTATTAATATAAATACGGCTGTTCCAACACATTACTGTATTAGTCATTTAGTTGTGGTTATGATTCAGTGAGGCCATTTTTTAAGCACTTCTTCTTTATACTATTCCTCTGTCACTTAAGTGAATCATAGCCTGGAATAGTTTCTACTGTTTAGTTTTTAAAGTAGATAAAACCTGCCAAGATCAAAACCTTCTCCTTCCTGAAAACATGAGCATTTAGCATCATACTTTAGAATATTGATTATAATTCAAAATAAACGTATAGCTGTAGAAAACTTAATTGAAATTATGGGCAGTCTCAGTTTTAAAAAAATTTCTAGTGCCTGTTAGCTTTGTTATGTAACAAACTGATATCACAAAACTTAGTGACTTGAAACAACAGTGATTTGTTTATCATGATTCTGTTCGTCAGCTGGGTAGTTCTGGTCTGGTCTGGCTTGGCTGACCTCTCCTGGGCTTGCTCCTCTGTAATCAGCCAGTTGGTAGACTAGCATCTAGATGACCTGGGATAGCTGCACTCACAAGTCTTAGAGTCACCAGGTCAAGTGTCTGTCATCATCCAGCAGGCTAGCTTGGTCTTCGTTACATGGTGGTGGTTGCAGGATTCCCAACAGCACGAGAGCAAGTCCAGTGCTTAAGTATTTTTAAGCATGGTGTCCTGTTGGCCTCGGCCAGTCATTTTGCTAGATTCAAGGAAGGGTGAAATAGACTCCCATTTCCCAATGCGAGGGCCTGAAGTGCCCCATTGTGAGGCCATGGATGCAGCAGAGAAGGCAAGAATGTAGCCATCTATATGATTTACCACAGTAGTAATTGGGATTAGCCAGAGATCGCTTTTTAGTCTGTTTTAAAGTGATGTCTGATTTGAGAAAATTTCTTTTTCTTTTTAATATGAAGAATTGTCAAATATTAACAAAAGTGAAATATGTACTTTGGGGAGGAAAAAGATATCTTAAAATTTGGTTCACTTTTCTCATGTAGATAAATCCTTGAAATCACTTGCCTTATAAGGAACTTTCATAAATTTGAAATGGTGGGATTTCTGAAAAGGAATACTGTATCTGTGTTGTCATTTGTTAATCTGTTTCCTGCTGAACATAGAACAGCTCTCCTCAGGTTGTCCTCCCAAAGGAGAATGATCCTCTGAGGAACTGATTCTTCCTCACATGAAATAGCTTATTTTTCTAAGTACTTTGATAGTTCTTTCCTAGTCTTCTGTTTTTTCATATAAAAGAATGGCATTTGGAATAAGAGGACCAGAGGAGAGAAGTGGAAGGTAGTCAGACCAATGGTTAATGGTGTGAGCTTTGGAATTAGGCTGCCTGAACTTGTTAATTCATTAATTTGTTCATTTGTTACTTTACGCATTTACTCATTAACTACATACCAAGTGCTTAGGATCTGACAAACATTGTTGTAAGCACTGGGAATGTAGCAGCACCAGGGCCCAGCAGCTAACTATTGTTGTGATCCGGGAAGAGTTATTTATCTACAACTTAACTGTTCTCATTTCACTGATAAGGAATCTAATAGTTATCTGTAGTGAGGGTTAAGATTATCCTGAAAGTGTCTGTACTGTTTAGTTCATATTAACTACTCAGTAAAGGTTTGTTTCTGTTGCAGTCATTAGCTTTCTAGTTTTGTGCTTCTTAAACCCTATGTGCGATCACATCACCTCAGGATCTTGATAACCTGCAGATCTGGATTCAGTAGGTCCAGTGTCACTGCTACCAGCTATAAAGGCCCTAGAGCCTGCATTTCTAAGAGGCACTTGGGTGATGATGATACTCCTGCCTGAGAATTGCATTTTGAATGGCAAGGCTCTGGTCCATTGTACTTACTTGAGTCCAGCCAGAGTTTTAGGTTTATAGCCTTTTTGCCAGTGGTAGTTATACTTTTGACAGTAATTTAATGATAAATATTCATAGATTATGTCTGCAGAGGTTTTTTAGCAAAAGCCTGGGTTTTATACATGTTTGTTCCTACCTAACATGGTAAAGTTATATACTCTTTGAAGGAGAGGACCAATTTATGAGATGCTCCCAGTTCTGCCGTCTTCTTGGAGCAGATTGATGATAGTTAGGACTGCCTGGGGGCCTGGTTGCATTCCCCCACCTGGATAAATGATAAGAAAGGAATTTCTTTGAAACATCTGCACTTAGTATAATGGTGATATTTGATAGTACATGGTGATATTTGAATTATTCTTTCTTGGTCATAAACACCTACTGGCTTGCGAGGAGACTGAAAATCCTTAGCATTTATAAGCATCTTAGAAATGATGTAATGCACCAGGGTTTTTTATTGCAGAGAATGGTGATTGGCCATCTGAGAGAAAAGCGTTTGGGCATTTTCTATCTCTGAGCAGGTCCAGTTGTCTAGCAAGTAGAATGTTCAGTTATGAACCTGTGTAGCAGATTTATTCCTCTGTAATGTTTTGAAACAGTACGTTTATTTTGAGGGTCTCGCTCTAACCATAGTTTTTTTGGGAGGGCAGTGAAACTACCAAACAAGACGAGGTAAAGTTAGAGTCTAACGCTGTAGCTGACAGGCACTCACTCCGGCTTCTCAAACTTTTTCTCTTTAAAGGAACTGGCTTACAGAAAGGAGATAGTGAGAGCTGATCTAATTAACAAAAAAGTTGGAATCAGGTATGCTTTGAAAACATTTTTTTGCTGTTGGAGAGAATTCAAGAATGAAATACCCAGGGACGCCTGGGTGGCTCAGTCGTTAAGCGTCTGCCTTCGGCTCAGGTCATGATCCCAGGGTCCTGGGATCGAGCCCCACATTGGGCTCCCTGTTCGGTGGGAAGCCTGCGTCTCCCTCTCCCACTCCCCCTGCCTGTGTTCCCTCTCTCGCTGTGTCTCTCTCTGTCAAATAAATAAAATCTTTAAAAAAAAAAAAGAATGAAGTACCCACAAGACTTTAATTTTTCCTGAAAGAATGCTTATGCTTAGAGAGGGTTTTGATATCTTTTCAGAGTAAGTAAGTGATTGTAAATCATCTGTTATGATGTCTGGTGTCTCATGGAACTCAGAAAGGAAGGTGATATTTCAGATAGAATATCTTAAAATATAAGCATGTTTTAAGTACTCCAGTGAAGTTTATGGATTGTACACTCCTGTTTCAGAGAAACTCCAGAAAATATTGCCAAGCTTCTAACGAGGATGTGTTTAAAGTCAGAAGTAATAGGTGATGGGAATCAGATTGAGATTGAAATCCCACCGACCAGAGCTGACATTATCCATGCATGTGATATTGTAGAAGATGCAGCTATTGCCTATGGATATAACAACATTCAGATGACTCTCCCGAAAACCTACACCATAGCTAATCAAGTAAGATTGCACCCTTAAATACTCCTTGTTGTTAGAAACTGATTATTGAATGCCAGGAAGGCATTCGAGAAAAACAGCACATAGGAGTTAAGTAGTATTTGGACGTGCTGTGCTATGAGAGGCATTCGCTATGGAGAGGATGCAAAACAGATGCCCAGTGGATTAGAGTAAGTTCAAAATCTGTGATGACTAGTAGTTGAAGAAAGACAGGTTTTGAGTTTGGAGCCCTTTTGAATCTTGAGCTGGGAGATTCATTCTTTCAACCTGGCCTGAAGGCAGAAGAAGTTCCGTGTGGGAGAGGTGAAGTGGGAGGTTTGTTCATCTGTGTAGGAGTACTGGGGTAGTGAGGCAGTGGGGGGGGGCAGGGAGTGAAGTGGTGCTACTAGCAGTATTAGTAAGGATGGAAGCGGGTTTGCCTTTTCATGACCTGTATAAAACTTTTGTTGTAGGAAATTTTATTGAGGTGGAATAAAGTTAAGTATCTTTTTTTCAGTTTCCTCTTAATAAGCTCACAGAACTCCTGAGACATGACATGGCAGCCGCTGGATTCACGGAAGTGCTTACCTTTGCTCTGGTATGTCTCCTGTGCTTTCTGTGCAGCTGATGGTTGACACTGAATCTCTGAAGTTTTGTACTCTGATTCCTTACATGAATTTATAAAATCTAGGCTGCTAAAATTTCCAGGTTCTAGAAGAATAACTTTTTTTACTTGAGATTGTATAATTTCTAGTAAAAAAAAATGTTTATTTTTTGTCACAGAAAATCATGAAGGACAAAAGTCTTAAATGACAGATAACAATGTATTTTGTACTTTTATGGAAGTGTTGAGGGTTGAATTCACAACGAGTTTCATAACCAAATTGATCAAGTTAGAATTTTTAGTCTTAATTTGGTTGTGTCTGTGCCCACTAGATGCCGCCCTAGTTAAGGATTTGTGGACTGTTCCACATTAAACTTCTTTGTCTTTGAACATGTTCACAACATTTGCTTTGAGTTGGAAAGCTGACATTAAAGGCCTGAATCAGGAAATGAATTTTATTACAAAATAGAAGGAAATGCCCTTCCCCCACCAGATTGAAAAGAATAAAACATCTATGCCGTTCATAGTTTCCTCTTCTCTTGTTGAGCATTTGTGTGATGCCTACAGTATGTAGTTCTGGAGTCTTCACGTAGATATCAGCTTAATGATGGAGGGCAAAAACCAAAACCAAACAAAAACAAACGACTTCATTTTCTCCCCCCAACTCAACTCCAGACAGACTTCTCCATCTTATATTTACAGAGAGTGCAGTAGTGGGGGTTCCATTACTACCAGTTTGTGGGAGAGGGTGGTCGGAAAGGAGATGCAGCCCCTCTCCCTTTATTGAGCACTTGTCATTCATAGGATGCTAACCTGGGAAGGGACTTTACAGATTTTCTAGTTCAGCATTGTCACTGTTTCTGATTCAGGAGTCCTTTATTCCGCATTTACAGAACATCTGTTGTATGCCAGGCACTGTAAGAATGAAGAGGCCTGAGGTCAACAGGACAAGTACCTAACGAAGTGTATACAGACAGGAGAACCAGGACCAGAATCCTAGCCTTTTGGCTTTTAGAGCAGTGCTTTTCTGTTGTCTCGGCCCGTGTATGCTCGGTTTGTAGTACAGGTCATTCATATATGCATATACACTTACACAGTTGTGAACATTAACGAAATGCAAAAAGTAGCATTGAGAAACGTATTTCATTTTTAAAAATTAAGTGGCATGGGATTGATCTGAAACGATTCAACCTGTACAGAACCATGTAGAGTAAACCGTTCCTCTGTTTCCCTTCAGATTTCAACCCTATTTTCCTCCCCAGAATTAACCGAGGTTCAGACTTTGGCCTGTGAATTTCCCTGTCCTTTTATAGAAGTAGTGAGTTTTGCTCTTGTAACAGTGTGTAGCCCCATGTGTCTCAGGGGAGCACATACTCTGCCCGACCAGGGCTGCTCTGCAGGGAGAGTTTATCCTGTTGGTCCAGGCCTTTCTGCCTGTGATTCCCGCTCCGCGCCGCGCTCTAAAGTAGGTGTTCCAGTCTTACGTGGCAGTAACTTGTCCCATTCCATACAGCCGGTCGGCTGTGGGCCGGGGATTCCAGGCCAGGCCTGTGACGGAACTGTCCACCAGGAGTGCCAGAAACAGTCTGTTCAGCTGTCCCAAGTCACTTCAACACATTATCACTGGGGGAGGGGAAGGAGTGAGGTGCTAGAGTTTCAAATATGTAATGACAGTTTTCTAATAGGAATTTCAGCGTCAGAGGTATTTATGTGACATAATTAGCAAACCTAAGTATCTCTGTGCCTTATATCTAGTTTTGCATGAGAGAAACAGAGCCTTTTCTAAAACCTAGCCCTTGATTTTCCGAATACAAGTAATTGTTATCTCATCATTATGATTTTTACTATGTCTGCATACTAGTTGTACTAAGGTTAAAGTAGATAGTTTTAAAAGTGAGTTAATTTAAAATATTACAAGAATATTCATAAAAATCATGAGCTTCATTTACTTATATTTTTCTAACACTTTAAACACATTAACATTGAAAAAGATATTTAAAAAAATTTTAGCTACTGCCACTTCAGGTTGCCTTGATTTAAAACTGCTTCTAATTTCTGTGCCGTATCCTCCATTGTCATGATGAAGTACAAGGCCACTTAGATACCTCCGCTGCCGTGTGTTTGTGGAACAACCTTTCTTACACACACACACACACACACAGTACTAGTTCTGTTTGACAGTTGATTGCATTATTTAAATTGCATTTCCTAATTAATCACATTATATCTTGTTATAAAAACTTCTCGTGCTGAGAAGAAATTCTGGTTATTTTCAGTGTGCCTGCCACCATTCTCTGCCTCTGCAGACATTGCAGATCAGGGAGCTCTTTTGTGCTCTGCTTGAATGTGGCTTTGGTATCCTTCCCAGGAGAGCATGGCAAGAATCATTAGAGCTGGCATTGACATAAAACCTAAACCCATTTGTGTGTGCGTGTGTGTGTGTGTTACTCTAAGAAATACAGACTAGTCCTTGAAGACCACTTTGTAAAATAGTGTAGTAAGCAACGTCACCTAATGTTGGAAAATCGTTCAGTAACCTGCTGGCCCATCAGTTTTCATGTTAAGTTTTAAACTCCTTTGCAACAGTTAGCATTAATATACGTGATAAGTTTTAGTACTTATTAATCATCATTGTTAATATTTTTTTGAGCACTTAGTTTGTGGCAGGTACTTTATTTGCATTATCTTGTTAACTCATTTATTAGATGTGGTGCATCTAATAGTTTTATTTTCATAACTTCGGTTGGTCATCCTGGTTTTTGAGTATGACAGGTATCTTTCTGTCTTTGGAGGGTGAGTGCTTAGAAGTTTATTGCTCGGAGCTTTATCAAGCACCTATGCACAGAAGTTAAATGATCAAGTAGAAAGAACATTGGGCAGAATTCAGGCCACTTGAATTCTGCTCTTAGTCTTACCATTTTACCACAAGTCAGTATGGATTTAGCAAGGATTATAACGGTAATCAAAGCCATAGGCACACTTAGCGGGGAGAGCAAATTTGACAGGAGTCATTAGGAATATTTTTAAGGAAGCGGTAGAACTGGCATTAAAGTAGAGCCTTGAGGGATGGGAGCAGGTAGGGCGGGGAAGGCATTTCGTAAAAGAAAGGAAGAGTGTAAGATTCAGGGAATGGGCAGCTAATTGTAAGAGACTAGACTGGTAAGGTAAATGGGAGACTAGCTTAGGAAGGGCCCAAATACAGTACCACCATCAACATGTGAAAAACTTACTTTGCCTCTGTATCATAGATAGAATTCCTTGTAAGAGAATTGTTAACGTTAAATTGTATCTGCTTTGGCCCTGAGTTAGTTGATATATTTATTATTTTTAACTTCTTTATATAGAGAACCTACATTGCTATGAGACCATAAGTTGACTTACAACATTAAATACTTTGTATATTAAGTTTAGTCATTGTTTTTCTTTCTTTATTTTGCATGTACTTCTTAGTGCTCCCAAGAAGATATTGCTGATAAACTTGGTTTGGACATCTCTGCAACAGAAGCAGTCCACATAAGTAATCCTAAAACAGCTGAATTTCAGGTGAGAATTTTAAGTAGGTAAGAATTTAGATAAATACTGAGAGGCAGTACATAAGTTATACTTAAGATGACAAAATCTGAGCACTTTTTAAAAAATCTCTTCTTGGATAAGATTATAGTTGGTTCTGGGACGCCTGGGTGGCTCAGTCGGTTAAGGGTTTGCCTTCGGCTCAGATCATGATCCAGGGGTCCTGGGATCCGAGTCCAGCATCAGGCTCCCTGATCAGCAGGGAGCCTGCTTCTCCCGCTGCCTGCCACTCTCCCTGCTTGTACTCTCTCAAAAAACTTAAAAAAAACACCAAAAAAACTTAAAAAAAAAAAAAGATTATAGTTGGTTCTTACATAACTTTGTTGATGAATTTTTTATATTAGATATAAGATTCATTAGACCGTGCGGGGGGAGGGGCAGAAATTTTATTACAGAGCACGCGTGCGCAGGCGAGAAAGAGCAAGAATTGGGGCAGGGGCAGAGGGAGAAGGACAAGCAGAGTCCATGCTGAACAGGGAGCCTGACTAGGGCTTGATCCCAGGACCCTGGATCATGACCTGAGCTGAAACCAAGAGTTGGATGTTTAACTGACTGCGCCACCCAGGCGCCCCTTGTTGACGAATTCTTAACACTTTTTAGTCTTTTCTTGATTGGCCTACAGTTGTGTTTTGCTTGCTTTGCTTTCCCAGTCTTGTCTGAACTTTCATTCACTTCAAATCAGTTAACTTTAATACTATTTTCAGATTTCATCTTTTCTACCCATTTTGTAATAAATGAGTCAGCAACTGTTCCCAGTACCTCCATTAAGTCACTCACTCTGAAAGTAGTTGTTACATCAGTTCTTGACTATGCTGCCTTCATTTTTTTCATGGTAATCCTCTAGTTCAATGGCAGTTTCACATAGAGTTCAGGAATATTTCAGTGAGAATACTACCTTAGTAAATGTTATCTTCGTTTATTAATGACTTCAGACCATCTCGTCTCTTTCTTACTGGTCAGTTCTCATTCTGTTTTTCTTGCACATGCAATTCTTTATGATTTTCTTCAACCCTGGCTTAGAATCAACCCTGGAATCTTAGAATTGGGAGGAAATGCTTTCAAGAAAATTAATGCTATTATAATATGTGAACTCTGTGACTTGAGATTGTTTCTGTGAATCTTGATTTTCATTATCTGTAAAACTATGGGAGGGAGTCTTAAATTCTAAAAATTTTTGAAGTTCTAAAAATGTTAAAATTTGGATTTTTTTAAAGTTAGATTTAATCTGTACCACTAATGTGGTAGATTAGGGCCAGACTGCTATTTAAAGAACTAACGTAATAATATTCATCAAGTACATAAATTGTTTCTCTCTATTCAGTGTCAGAACTTTGAAGAATTCTTATGCCAGTTGGAAGGATTTTGATAAGTTCCACTAGCTTTTCTACTGTTCTTAAAAGATGCCCATGGTGTTCTTTTCAGTCTTTTCAGACACTCAAATTCATTTGGGTAGAGGGATTTTTCAGTAAATCTTACTGGACTTTTATTTGAGTTTATTCTAAATTTTCCTTTTTCTCCCAGTTTCATTTATCAAGCTTGATAGATTTCTTAAGATGTGGTAATGTTCTGTAGGGTTTGCATCCTGTTTTCTCTATTTTATCTAAGTGGGAGGAAAATCAGAAACACATTAAATATCACTGTATATAGCTGTGGTTTAGCACACTTTCAGAATCAGTATTTCTGTATGAAATACATTAGATGAGTCCATCTTTTAGACAGGACAGATTCTATATTTTACTCCTGCTTTACCAGTAGAAATGTCCTACCAACACTAATGTGGCTAACAGGTTTCTGTTTATTTATGGTTAAATGTAAAGTTATTTATGGTCTTGTAACTCAGTTTATTGTTTAAGCCCATTCTTTTTCTTGGATAATTCTTAATTTTGGACTATTTTCTAACTGTAGATGTGTTAGAGAATGGATAAAAGAAGAAAAATGTTAGTTAAAACATGTAAATTTTATAATTATAAACAAAATTACAGAATACTACCACATTTCCCCAGATTAGCAATAGTATTCCTTAATATTTTTAAATGTCCAGTCATTGTTGAAATTTTCTCATTTGTCTCAATTTTTTTAATAGTTTGTATGAACTTCATGTCAAAGTCAATGTGCTTCTTACGTCTCTTTTAATCTACAGATTGCCCCTCTGTCCATCTCTCTCTCTTCCTTCGCTTTTTTCATTGAAGAAAATGTGTCCTTTGTTCTATAGAGTTCTCACAGTTAGGATTTTGTTAAATACATTCCAGTAGTCCCCTGTATTTCTAGTAAATTGGTAGGTAGATCTAGAAGCTTGATTTGGAGTCAGGTTTAATTTTTTGTATTGCTGTGAATTTTTAAGCAAATAAGGCTGATCTATAAAATGGGGAAGAAAAAAAACCCACTGGGAAAAGCTATTTACAAAGGTAGGTTGTTTATATTCTGGTAAGTTAAGCTTTCTTTTAACATTGTACTTTCATTTCTATGAATGGTTTGGGCACTTTCTCTCCAGTTGTGAAAGTGAGCGATATTTACAAAAGCACGGAGTTGAAGGCTACTAACAGCAGGTGGCAGAGTGAACGTGACTGGAAAGGTTTTCTCTTTCCCTCAACACACATTCTACCAGCAAGTCTTCATAGGGGCTTCCTGTTAATGCCCGTAGGATCTTGGAGGGGCTGCCATTTTAGCCAGGATGGTCAGGGCAGGCCTCTGTGGGCCAGAGCAGAGAGCTGAAGAAAGTAAGACAGCCACATGTGAATCCAGAGGAAGAATATATGCGGTAGAGGAAGAGAGGTGGCTCAGAGGCCTGAGCCAGAATGCTGGTGGGGGGTGTCCTGAAACCCAGGAAGCCTGGGGAGCAGCAGGCATGGAGGGTAGAGAGGAGGCCAGGGCCAGATTCAGATAGGACCCCATGCAAGTCATGGAGTTTATTCAAAATTTGATGGAAACCTGTTAGATTTTTGAGCAGGGGAATTTCATGATGTGATGTAGGCCTTAAATCATCACTGTGTGTGGAGAAAAGGCCGTAGGCAGCAGGAGAGGAAGCAGAGAAACCAGCTTAAGTAGTCTGGGTCAAAGGTATGGTGCTGGTATCTGCTGCGAGCCCTGGATCTTAACGATGATGCCCTACCACTGCTCATAAAACTCTTCTGGAAACATGCTGTGTTGAAACCTAACCTATCTCATACAGCTTGGAATGAGAGATTTGAGACAGACGTAGGGAAGTTGTTTTTTGTTGTTTGTTTTTATTTCTATTTATTGTTTTCTTTTCCTAAAGATTTTATTTATTTATTTGACAGAGAGAGACATACAGTGAGAGAGGGAACACAAGCAGGGGGAGTGGGAGAGGGAGAAGTAGGCTCCCCGCTGAGCAGGGAGCCCAACGCGGGGCTCAATCCCAGCACCCTGGGATCAGGACCCGAGCCGAAGGCAGACACTTAACGACGGAGCCACCCAGGCGCCCCTGTTGTTTGTTTTTAGAACTAGGATGTATGTTTGTATTTCTTTGGCCACTAAGCTGAAAACTATAGTCACAGCTTGCCCGTAGCAGCTTCATAATTTTTTTAGTGCTTACATGTTTGTGTTCTGTTTTCTCATTGTTGTGATATTTTAATTGCATTTACATTTTCCCTAGTCTTGGTTTTTAAGAATTCGATTAGTTCATATTTAATCTATTTAAATATTTGCATTTCTTGTAATCTCCTTCATTTACTTTATAAAATAAAACAGGATATTAAAATTTACATATTTGCAATCTTAGAAGCTAATTTTAATTTTAAAAATAATAGAATAACTAATCCTAGATACAGGCATTGTATTTATATTTGTTTCTCAATTTTTGATCAGATTTTATGATTTTTCACTTTCTAAGTTTGGGAGCCAGAATATTTTCAGTTTTTTGTTTTGGAATTGATAATTAAAGATGATTTGGACATTTACACATTGCATTTTCCAGAAGAGTCTTACTACTGTGAAGCTGTTGAGTTCTTTTGGCCTTGTCTTATAACCAAGTCCGTTTGGGTTCTTATTTGGTCAGTGCAATTTCATGTTTTCTCCTGTAGGTGGCACGCACTACCCTTCTTCCTGGCCTCCTAAAGACCATAGCTGCGAATCGGAAGATGCCCCTTCCTCTGAAACTGTTTGAAATCTCTGACATCGTAGTAAAAGATTCTAGCAGAGGTAAGAACGAGTCATCTCTGATTTGTACACTTACAGCATTTTATTATGAGAATCTCAGCTCTGTATAAAAGTGGACAGTATGACCACCCCTGTGAATCCAGCACCCGCCTTCAGCAGTTATCAGCACATGGCACTCCTCCATGTTAGTTTGATGTAATTCTGAGACATCCTACCATTTGACCAGCAAACACTTTAGTATGTATTTCTAAAAGATATATATATATCTAAAAGATAAAAGATACCACTTTTGTTTTTGTAAAAATAACCTAACACTATTTTATCATCAAACATCCAGCTAGTGTTTACATTTTCCTAATTGTTTTATAAATTTAGTTTTCATGATTGATTGATATGAATCCATCCAAGCAATATATTCAGATATTTGGTTGCTCTCTCTTATTTCTTTTAGTAGAAGGCAAATCGTAAAGAACTTAACATTTATGAAGAACCCTGTTAAAACCTCAGCTTGAAAAGTACTGTGGAACATTTTTTTTTTAATCTTGTGATATATGTGCATATCATTTTAAGGTACTTTGATGTCTTGTCATTCTAGTTTAGCATTTAGCTATTCATCACTCTTGTATTAGTCATTATAAATGTGTTTGACCAGTTTTTGCCTCGAGAATAGGCTGGACTTGTTAGTATAGTAAGTTGCCTGGTCCACCATTTGGAACTCAGAGGTTATTTAATAAACATATATTTAGATAGTACTTAAACCTGATTGCCAAGGATGTCTGTCTTATTCAAACTTCTGTCTTCAGACTTAGACAACAAGTCTGCTTGGAGCTGCATATGAGGTCACTTCTCGGTAGCAGGGCCATCAAATGACTGAATTCCTGGTGGTATTTCTCTGGTTCTCTGAATTTGACAGTTCCAGTCCTAACGATGTTTATTCAGGAGTTTTACTCCAGACTGCGAAACTCAGAGTGTGTTCTTCTGAATCACTTGACAACAGCAAAGGCCTTTTCCTCAGTTACTCCTGAAGAGGATAATATGGCATTATTCTGACTATCCAGAGTAGTCAAGAACTATTGACTGTAAGTCAACCTGTCTTAGGAAATAGATATTATAGAGGCATGTCCACTTGACTGTATATGGACTTCCATAGCAAGCTTTGCAGCCAAAGCTGGATTCCATCTGCTCTCCACTGTGCAGCCTTGTGTTCAATTAACAGCATCAGCTTGCATTTGTATAGTACTTTATACTTTTGAAATTTTTTAAAAAATATACCTTTTCTATTGTGATTGTTAATCTATGACTTTGAGGCAGATGGGACCAAAAATATTGTCCCCACTTAATATGTAGGAAAACTAAGACAGAAAAGTAGTAATTTGCCCAAGGCTGCATAAATTTTGGACTTAGAACTAGGGCCAGAATTTGGTCTCTGTGCATACATCCTTAGAGAATAAAAGTTTAGTTTAATATCAGTCTATGTAGAATTTTCTTTGGGTGGTCAATCTGTGGTAGGAATCAGAAAGCATTTTCACTGCCAGCTATAAGTAGTTCTGAGGGTTCTTGTGCCTCAAATCCTCCATTGGTACAGATACCTAAGAATTTGTTACGATTTTAATGTCAGATTTTTGCTGTTAACTTTGACTCCTTTCCTTTCATCTTAGCTCTTTGAATTGTAGGTTTTGATCCTTGGTGATCCAAACATTTACAAATACAGGATTAGGTTAATTATACCAAGTTTCCTCAAAAGTTTTATGTATTTGGGTGTTCCTGAGTTGGGGGCATAAAGATTTACAATTTTTAGATCTTCTTGTTGGATAGACACCTATACTATGATATGGCACCTTCTTCAGCTCTCGTTTACACTCTGTGGCTTAAAATCTAGTTTGGTGTTGGGGCGCCTGGGTAGCTCAGTCATTAAGCGTCTGCCTTTGGCTCAGGTCATAATCCTGGAGTCCCGGGATCGAGTCCCGCATCAGGCTCCCTGCTCGGCAGGGAGTCTGCTTCTCCCTCTGACCCTCCTCCCTCTCATGCTCTCTGTCTCTCATTGTCTCTCTTGCAAATAAATAAAATCCTAAAAAAAAAATTAAAAAAATTAAAAAAATAAAATAAAATAAAATCCAGTTTGGTGTAAGTAAGTGTGGCTACTCCGGCTTGCTTTTGTGATGTCCATTAGCATGTTAAATCGTTCTTCATCCCCTCACTTTGAATCTGTTTTTTTAGGTATAAAATGAGGCTAAGTTCCTCAAAAGGTTTATAATACTATTTCAGCAGTAGGCCTCCTCCCTAATGGTAAGGACTCCCTGCAGGGCTCTGTAGGGCTGGGCATGCTTGCAAGCAAGCAGCTCAGAGTCTGGAGGGTGAGGAGCTGTGGGGTTCCCCACAATTGCCACAGGAAATTTTCACTGTAAGCACGGAGCACTTGACTGTATTGCAGTCCTTGTTAGGGATATCTTCACTATTTTTTCTTTCATGTGTCTTTTGAAAAGGCCCAGACATAGACTCCACTCTGCCCCAAGGCCCATACTTGGAGATAGCCTCGCCTGTTGAGAGCAAGCTCTTGTGCAGTACTAGGCTGTAGACCATCATTTAATAAGTCACCCTGGTGATAACCCCAGAAAGCCAGTCCTATACTTTTTAATTCAGATATGGATTTCTGCTGCACTTTGTTTCATCAGAAAGAATAGCTTTCATCTCTGTAGCAGACCTCTCTTATTTGGGTGTTTAGTTGTGATTATTTTGCTGTTTTCCCTATAGGAACATTTTTATCTGACCCTACTTTTGCCTGTTGTCTTGCACTTATGGTTTATTTTCTTCCAAATTTTCTGTCCCATCAATGGGATTTGAGGAATGAGAAGAAGTGAGTGTGCTGAATAAGTTTACCATCTTGAAAATCTAAGTTTGCTTCGGAGTGGGTTTTCTCTTTAGTTAGGCCTGGATTTTATGTCCTAACAAGTAGCTTTTCTGATGGATTATTCTACATATGTTCAAGCGGACTCCCTACTTGGCGTTTGGTATACATAGAGGGTTCTATAGGAAAGGCAGTGTAGCACCGTGGATTCAAGACTGTATAGCCAGAGTAGTTTTGAGTCATGGTTCTGCCACTTATGAGCTGCTGAACTTTGGGCAATTTATGTAATCTCTCTGTGCCTGTTTTCTCATCTGTTGCAATGGGGATGACCATAGCACTTACTAGATTTTTGGTAAGGATTAAATGAAATTGCATTTTGAAAAGTTTGAGCCACGTAATCACTGTTTGGTGTCTGCTCTTACCGTTAGAGTATTAGTAGTCCCTAAGGCCAGATGTGTAACATCCCGGTCTATGGTAATTTTCTGTGAGAATGACTTGGAAACTTTTGGTTATTAAAGGGTTAATGTCACCTTGCTGCACTAAAGATGAGGCACTTGGGGCTCATTTTTATCCTAACTTGATTTAATTGGCTTTTCTTTTGTTGTGCACTATCTTTTTTAGGGTATGAAAACCAAAAAGTACTGATGGGGAAATATACTGGAAAACAGGAATGTGGTTTTTGTTGTTGTTTTATTTTGTTTTTCAGGAATGTTGTGTTTTCAGTAATTCATCACCCACTTTTCTTCAATGAATTGAGCACAAATGTTTTTACTGCCTTTTAAGCCAGTAAGCATTTTTCTGTTGGATTTATATTAGCCATTTCCTCCTAAATATTCAAACTGTTTTTGAAAAAGAAAAATCTAGACCATTAAAAGTGAAATGGTAGAGGAGTTTTCCAGTCATGTGTAACATCCTAGATTTTCATTAGTGGGGGCCATACCCAAAGTACTGGTTCAGAAGGGGCAGAGATGTGTGCAAGAGTGAGCAAGACAGTCTCATTCATTGCACTGGTAGAAAAGTCTTTTTGAGTTCCTTTCCTTTGCTAGGGTCTGCTTGTAACATGAGAGAGACAGTTTCCAGTCTTGAGGGAGACTCACTGGTGAGCAGATTTTTATAGATAATACTCCAAGGGAGCGCTCAAGGGGCCCTGATAGCACAGAGAAGGAGTGACAGTTGCCACTGACTTGTTTTCTAACATTAAGGAACACCCCGACTCAGCCTCCTGTCAGTTTTGTGTAGGCAAGCGTATCTTCCACAATGGAAATGAAAAAGGAATCTCTGCTGGATTTCAGTATGCCTCCCACAAATTTTGTTTGACTTTCATTCCTGTAAGAGTAAATGAAAGCCTACTAGCCCCTGTTTTTATGCTTGACCTCATTGGACAGTTTTTTATGCTCTTGTGGACCTTTTGACTGGCTGTCCATGTTGTGAGACCGTCAGGCCCACTGCCTGTTTAGTGACTAAGTCAGGCACACTTCTCAGATAGTAAGACTTCCACTCGGAGTCCAGCACATTCCGGTTCTTTAAGGCTGAGCCAGTCACTGCATTTATTGAGCTGTAAGATCCAAAGTTGCTGCCGCACTGTTAAAAATTAGTCATGAGTCCAGCATCTAAGCTGATTTGTCCCTTTTGGGCAGAGTGGCATGTGTCTTTGGAACGAGAAGTTAAATGCAGACTCTGCTGTGGGGTACATTTTCAGCTTTATGGCGGAAGTCAGTAGAAGCGGCCCTGGAGCTATCAAATCAGGCTGCTGTGTGAGTTCTTGATTGGTTTCAGTTGTTCCTGCTTTCATTCAATGTCAAGAATAACTAAACTGTAAACAAAATAGTAAATTACTGTAGAGGAGCAAAGGACCCTACTTGTAAATTGCTAATCTTTGTGCCCAGAAAAGCAACTGTATTTTGCAAAGGCCAACATTCGGGCTTTTTATTAAAAGCACATTGAATTCTGCCATCACAGTTTATTTCATGATGGTCCCTGAGGCTGCCAGCATGCCTAGAAGCTCACTGAGATGGCAGGAGAAAACACATCACCGGGTTGAGTCTTAAAAGTTTAAAAGGAACCATAGCTTAAGGAAGATGACTTAGTTTGGCTTTGTAAAGGGTACTTAGATTTAGCATGATGCAGTCATCCAGTTGTCAGTTTGACATATATCTGTAGAGAATCTTGAAAAATCAAATCATCATGCACTTTAGTT